CTGGACTTTATAACTCGCAATTGCGAAAATTCAGAAAAGTGCGAGTTAATATGATGCAATTCTGAGATGTAAACTTGCAATTGCGAGAAAAAAAGGCAGAATTGTGAGACAAAAGTCACAATTACCTTTTTTATTGTTTTATTCAGTGGCGGAAATGGACCTCCATAGTATTCATTATTGATGCTGCCATCAGAAAAAGAGCAATTAAAAGCAGATCAGAAATGGAGCGTTCATATTACACAGGCAAACATTGATTAGTGTGTGTGAGGTGAAGAGCTATTGGTGGCACACTGAATCTCACAGACATTGATTGAAACATCACACTGGAACGAGAGACGCAGAGAAGAGATGACGCTCAGATCGCTTTATTCTCCTCGTGTCTCCACGTCAGAGTTCAGAAACTTCAGTTAACGTCAGTAATATCTCCAGATGAACACTTACTGCACTGAAGCAGCTCAGCTTTACTTGATTCTCCATCAATCATGTTTTAGAGTCTCAAATCTGATCCTCAGGATCTTTTGAGGAGCGTTTGTTTCCAGAAGCTTTACTTTCACTGTTCCTCAGCGGAGGAATGATCTTCACAAGCCTCCAGAACATCTCACATCTTCTGAGGAGGAGCCTTTATTTCTTCAGCTCTCAATCACTGCATTGCATTGCATTAAATGTTTTAATCATTATAGGCTATATATCATCTCATATATCATATCATATAAATCTCATCTTACTAAGACATTATTGGAGATATAGAGCAATGACTGATAAATCATAATATGTCAGTATCTGCTATACTGTTATAAAGATCTCATTGATTTACATCACAAGCAGCTGAATTTCATCATAGAAATCTCAACAATATTATAATATCTGCAGCAAATTGCATAGTTTTGCTCAGTCTCTCAGCTGTTTTTTCCTCCATATTCTCACTGTATCAGACTATATGAGGCATAAAAGCCTGATAATCAAATATGATGTATGTGCATTGTGCAGATCTCTTATATCTGACTTGTTTTGTAGTCTTCCTCATTTAGAGAAACTCCTCTGCTCTGGATCTGACTCTCTGATCTTTTTCTGCATTGTAGGAAGAGTGAAGAGTCAAATTACATTTAATTTTTTGATGAAATATTAGTTATTATAACGTTGCAAGAAACGTTTTTGTAACCTTCAAATAACGTTACAATCACATGACATTTTAGAAGCATTTCAAAACAATGTTCCCACAGCATTTTAATAACCGCAGGCGCTCGTTAAGCATCTTTGAAGGGTCTCTGAAACGGCTCTGAAGTGCTTCTAAACTGGCTCCGGCTGAAGAAAGCCAGTGTTGCCAACTTAGCAATTTTGTTGCTACATTTAGCAACTTTTCACACTACCCTAGCAACATTTTCTTCCAAAAGCACCGAGCAACAAATGTAGCTATTTTTACAATTTATTTTGCAACTGTAACTTTTGGTAAGTGACTCAAATCATAAAAAGGAACATTTACCAATTAAATGACACAAAAAGAGAAAACCAAAGATGCGTAGTAGTACACACATCACGTGAATTAAGTTAGCTGCTATTTACAATTGTTTAATAATAATAAAATAATTTGGTAATTTAATAATTGTTCATTTATGATACACTTTGTTAGTAGCTTGTACTTGCGATTGTTGATCAGTTGGTACACTGTAAGAAAAATATCTAGAAAAATTTTAATTTTCCAGGACATCATCCGTTATCCATTATCTGTTGTAACCCAAAAAATACAATGCGTAATTAAAAATGCAAAAAAATCAATACAGAAAATTCCTTCATATTAACATCGTGCTCTATTTTACGGAATTTTCTTAGAGTGCAGCACACTAACTAACTACTAATACACTGCTTAAAGGTGACATATCATGAAGATCTGACTTTTCCAGGTTGTAAGAGCTATAATCATGTCTCCAGTGCATCTACCAACCAAGGAAACGTGAAAAAGATTAACTCAGTAACTTTGTTTTGGGAAGCCTTTTTCTGCAAGCGTCTGAGAAAACGAGCGCGTCTGATTTCGCTTGCTTGGTGACGTGGCAAAAGGATCTCATTATAATATCACCGCCCCTTAATCTGTAAGTTTACACCCACGACGCCTCATTTTGATTTCGCAAGCGACAACGGTGTACCAGCTCTAATGTCATGGAGAAAGTTTGAGCAGAGCATGCTAGCTGTTCTGTGTTTGGCTGCGCAGACGAGCACAGAACACTGTTTAGAGTCCCAGCCTCAGACGAGGACAGCCGCTTTCTGTGCGTGTGCTTCGGATGTGTGCGCTCAGAAAACCCTATAGCTGAAGTTTAAACTCATATGGTTTAAATCGCATGATTTCAGCACGATAAACATGATAATCAGAACCAAAACAGATGTTTTTAGCAGGTACCAGCTGTAAAGGCGCAGCTCTATTCTGGAAAAGGGGGCGGGGAGCAGCAGCTCATTTGCATTTAAAGACACAGGCCCGAAAAACAGCGTGTTTCTGCTTCCACTCAAAATAGGCATTTTCAAAATTATATTATAAATGATCTGTGGAGTATTTTGAGCTCAAACTTCACAGACACATTCTTGGGACACCTGAGACTTATATTACATACTGTAAAAAGAGGCATAATATGTCTCCTTTAAAACTATAACTGTTCAGAAAGAGTAGTTTTACTTGTTTTCTAGCTAATAAAAAAAAACTTAAATTGTAATCGTTCTAAAATGTGTACGTTTTCAAAAACGTATTTAAAAATAGCTGTTTACAGTTTAATGTTATGTTATGCATTTATATGATTATATTACGAACAAATATAAATTAAAATATATTTTTTGCTGAAATTTGATGCAGTGACGCAATTTTGCGTCGTGATAACGTAATGACCTCACAACGTTATTTAGCAGCAGACGTAATGAAGACGAATGGCACGATGGAAATGAGCAGCGATGAAGGAGCATGTGCCGACAGCCTCGTTTTGAACCAGACTAGATTCTTATTTTAATAATTCATCCCGCTGATGCGTGTGAGTTTATTAATGTTTGCAATAGTCCAGACTTTAACGGCGTGTTCTCTTGTTCGGTGCATAAATTATGCAGATGTCCTGAGGGTTTGCAGTACAACACAAAGGCCTGAATTAAACATGAAGAGCTTTTAAAATAAAACACACAATTAGAAGCGTGACAGATTCTTAATGAGAAAATAAGTCTGCGTTTCTCCCCTCCGGCGCTCGAATTAAAGACTTTTATTAGGTCATTCGATCAGATTCCCAAGGTGATACTGTATGAAGACGCTTGAAAGCAATTACACGCCGTTTATGAGTATGAAATGAACATAAATATTAGTTTCGACCTCAGATTTAGTGTTTCATATATAATTCATGTTGTAGTAACAGCTTGTGAAACACTATTCTCACCTTTGAGAATTTATAACACCTAAATATATGATAATAAATACGTCTAATTCAACATGTCCGCTTATTTACATTTGTGTTGTACAGAAAAGTAGAGATTAAGAGTAAATAATAACAATAATGAATACAGAAATATCTGGAACTTTTGTAAGGCAGATCTCATGTTCATAAGCATATTTACACACGTAACTCAAAAGATTATTTATTTATTTTTTAAGTTTTATGAGTTTCTAATCTTGTTGTAATGTTAATGTTGTAAAATAAAATATTATTATTATTATTATTAAATAGTGTTATTACTATAGTTATTTATTGATTGATTGATTATTGATTTTTAAATATTTATTACTATATATATATATATATATATAGGATCATAAAGATTAACTTATTTTTGAAAATTTTTATAAAATAAAATAATTATGATTAAATAGTATTATTACTATAGTTATTGATTGATTATTTGTTGATTTTTAAATATTTATTAATATTATAATTAATATTATAAGATCATAATTCAAGATATTTTTGAAAACTGTTGTAAAATAAAATAATAATTATTAAATAGTGTTATTACTATAGTAATATATTGATTTATTGATTTATAAGTAATGTATTGATTTGTATTAATTTCATACATTTAAATTTAATAATGTAATTAATTTATATATAGAGAAAGATTTTTTAAAAAACTGTTGAAATAAAACTTGCATTATAAATTGCCATATCAATTTTAATTTTAATATTCAATATTTGTGTGTGTGTGTGTGTGTGTGTGTGTATGTGTGTGTGTGTGTGTGTGTCTTGTGTATAATGACAAAGGTATGACAGGTATTACAAGGAGAAGGTGACTTTTCAGGACATTACCCCATGTCCCCACTTTTCAAAACGCTTATAAATCACACAGAATGGAGTGTATTGAAAATCTGAAATAGCAGAAAGTCTCCTGTGAGGGGTAGGTTTAGGGGTAGGGTTGGTGTAGGGCAATAGAATATACGGTCTGTACAGTATAAAAACCATTACGCCTATGGAGAGTCCCCATAAACCATAAAAAACATAAAAACAAACCTGTGTGTGTGTGTGTGTCTGAGTGTCTGAGTGAGAGTGTGTGTGTGTGTGTGTGTGTGTGTGTGTGTGTGTCTGAGTCTGAGTGTCTGAGTGAGAGTGTGTGTGTGTGTGTGTGCCTGAGTGTGTGCGTGTGCCTGAGTATGTGTGTGTCCGTGTGCCTGAGTGTGTGTGTGTGTGTGTGTGTCAGTCTCAGATGATCTAAAACTCATTACTCAACCACAATTCTAATACCGATCAGAAAAAAAAAATGGTCAGATCTCCAGCACCTCCGTAATGGAATATAGAAAGCAAATATCAGTTCATAACCCGTGTGTAAGCGATACGCCGAGCTGCCAGTAATTACCATCAGTGTGAGTGAGATCGTTTACATGACGCCTAACGAGGCTGAGCTTTGGAGCGAATGTGTTTCTGCATGAGTCTAATGAGAAAACCTGCGATTTTTCCTGCAAACGAAGTTCACTTTGAATGAATCCAATGGAAGCGGATGGGTGCCACAGTGAAGACGTTCTCTGTGTCTGATGTGTGTGTGTTTGTGTGCAGGATGAGCATGAGGGATCTTCAGAAAGTTCTCACTCAGGTCCTCCTCCTGGCTCTCCTCCTGGGATCTCCAGCACAATCCAGGAAACATCAGGGTGGGTCTCAAACCTGAATCACACACAGCAGTGCTATTGTACTGTTGTTAGATTTATTATTATAATTTTTATGCATATTTTCTAATTAATTATTTATAAAATGTATATAAAGTGTATTTTTATTTATACATTTTATATAAAATGTTTATAAATGTATACATTTTACTTTTTAATTAGCTTTTATTATTATAGTTTTTATTTTATTTTAATTTATTGTATATATTTTTTTCATTTTATTTTAATTAATTTCAGCTTTATTCCAATGAACAAAAATGTTTTAGTTAATGATAACATTCACGCACATGATATTCATTAATGTCTCATGTGATTGTCGACCCATAGACTTCATTTCACTGCAAAACTGATGTTCTTCCTCAGTATTTCTGTTTTGTTTTCCAGCACAAACATCTAAACGTTATTAAGTTGCATTTTACTGGAGAAGCAAAATAAAAATTATATGTAAAACAAGAACAAATATCTGCCATTGAGGTCAGAAAAATAATCTTGTTTTCCCTTTGAATGAAGTATTTCTGACCCCATCGGCAGACATTTGTTCTTTTTCTAAGCTTTAACTCACTTCATTTTGTTGTTTTTTTTTTTTTTTTAGAAAACTTTTATATCTTCAGTCATTTTGCTTCTCAAGTCAATGCATCTTAATTTAATTTCCTGGTTTGGTTTGTCACCATCCGTCTGATCACGTGATCAGAGCAGAGACGCTTAGAAACATAGTTCAGCAGAGGAAATCACAGCAGTGCACTTCCTGTTTCCTGTTCGATCGCCACCGATCCATGCAGATCTCGCTAGTACAACTCATGCAGATGCAGTTTAATTAGAAAAGCTTGTCTGCTCTGAGTCTGCTATGCAAACTCTTAATTAGCTGTTTACTGCACACACACACACTCACACACACTCACACACACACACACACACACACACACTCTCACACTCATGCACACACTCACACACACACAGGCGTCTCATAGAAATGTCAGCAGCAGTTAAAAGTGCAGAGCGCCGCAGCGTGTGAATAATTGAGCGGCTAGAAGGACAGCGAGCGAGACTCAGCGGCGCCTCCTCCTGCGCTCCTTCAGTCGGTCACAGCGCTGGCTTCATGAATACAGCTTTAGTACTGAAGAGTTAAGTGTTTAGAGTTTATGGAGTTTAGCTGAGCTCGTCACTCACTGTGTCCAATAATCAATCATTATGATGATGATGATGATGATGATGATGATGATTCAGTGCCATTTTAGTATCATTGACATTATGAGGTTTTTATTCAGTTTATTTTATTCTATTTTATTTTATTATTTTTTATTTAATTTATTTTCTAAATATTTATTTATTAATTTTACAAATGTATGTACTTTTTTATGTCTATGATGATGATTGTGGTCCAGTGTTATTTTAGTCAAGTCAAGTCACTGTTATTTATATAGCGCTTTTTTACAATGCAGATTGCGTGAAAGCAGCTTTACAGTATTAAAAAAAGGGAAATAGTGTGTCAAGATAGTGTGCTGTTCTCCTCTGGCCAGGCGAGACCAGCAGTTCAATTCTAGGCTGCAGCAAAGTCAGATTGTGCAGAGGACTCATCTGGTTCCCGTGGTCTTGTCCCAATGGTCTGGGATTTTATTATCATTGACATTATGTGGTTTTTATTCAGTTTATTTTTATTATTATTATTATTATTTTATGTACTTGTTTGTTTCTTTGTTATGTTTTTTTACTTTGTATTGTTTAAATGTTTTTTTTAATGTCTATTATGATGATTGCGGTCCAGCATTATTTTAGTTTCATTGTAGTACTATTATCATATTTATTCATATTTTGAATTAGGAACCGTGGTTACATAAGTAACCTGAGACGTTCCCTTTCATGGGAACTTCGAACTGCGTCCTCTAGGTTTCCCATAGCGACCCCTAGAGGACGCAGTGTCTCGTTCCCTACTCAGGGAACCATTGTTAAATAAGTAACCTGAGATGTTTTGTTGTGTATGGGTTTTTTGTCATTTTTATTCGTTTCTAAAAATGTTCAAATAGATTTTAAAAAATGTAATATTTCTGATAATAATTTCTAATAATTTGCATGAATTTGTATTCCACTTTTAGTTATTTTAGTACATCAAGTTACACTAAGTGAAAATGAGAAATGTTAGCTGAAATAAAATTTAAAAAGTGTATTTTGTTTTTGTTGTTTTCAGTGAAAGTGATGAAGGTTGTGTTGTGTTGTGTTGCAGTGGTGCGTGACGTGCGGACGGGAACGTGTGAGGTGGTGGCGTTACACCGATGCTGCAATAAGAACAAGATCGAGGAGCGTTCGCAGACCGTCAAGTGCTCGTGTTTCCCGGGACAAGTGGCAGGAACCACCAGAGCGGCTCCGTCATGCGTAGACGGTACTAAAAACACACCGGACAGAGATATTCTACAAACTCCGAGTCCTATAATCCAGCATGAACGAATCCTCACATTACAGCGAGATCACGAGAACCACATGAACTGCGTATGAAATTCAGACTGAACTGTACAAAATGATTTTGAAGATTATTGGAGTGCATTTTACGAGAAAATACTATTTGAGTCTTTCTGCTTCAAAGTTTCTCATTTAATTCAATGTATTACTTCTCATTTCTTTGTAATTTATGAGTGAAAATTGTACTACACAGCGATTTTAAATGCTTTTTAAATTCATTATTATAAAATATATTAAATTCATTATTATTACTATAATATATGAATGATAGTTCTAAAGTAACTGCAACTACTTGTCAATGAAAATGTAGTGAAAATAGTTTGTATGTGTGATTGATTAGTTTGGTCTGAGCTCCTTTATTTAAACGTTTGTATTTTAAATTATTTTTACTCAAGGTTATTATAGTTAGCTAAAACTAAACTAAACTAGAATAAAATAAAATAAAATAAAAATATTTTTGTTATTTGAAATAAAATAAACATTAACTGAAATACTATCAAATTTATTTTATTTCTCATTTTCATTTAGTTTAAATTGAATACTAAAATAACTCAATAATATTAGATTATAACAATAACATAAACTAATTAAAATTAATAAAAAAGGAATAAATTACTTTACAAAAAAACGTTAGCTAAAATCACAGTTAGAAAATATATACAAATAAAATCTAATTAAAAAATATAATAGAACAATAATCAGTGATACTCAAATAACTCTGTTTTTACGTTTGGTTATCAATTCTCAACATGAGGAATAATTTACTTTTCACTAAAATGCTGGAAATAAAATATTTTTATTCAATTAATCAAGCAAATAATGCTGATATGAATTGATTATCAAGTGAACTGCTTCAGCGCTCGTTTGCTGGTCAGCGTCATTAGCGCAGAGTTTAATGTCTGTCCGTTAATGAGGAAGCTGATTAAACTCTAATCGCCTCTAATCGTTCCACCCGTAATACTTTAGCTGTGTGAAATGAATGGTAACGGATCTGTTTGGATGTGTTCGGGCCCCTGAGTGCCGTCTGACCTATTCTCTGACATTTAGTCTCTGACATTCTCTGCAAATGAAAGCGCGGCTCGAATGTCCTCCATCGGCAGGTCATCTCCAAAAACACATCAGCACTTAACCTGCTAATGATTTTCTCCATCATCACGCCTCGTTCTGACGGGTTTAGCCCTCGTAATGCATTCGACATCAACTCAAACCACCAGACTGTATCTGATCAGCAACTGATCATTGATGAGTGAATGTGAAAAAAAGTTTTGAATGCTACCATGTTATTACGGCATTCACCCCTTTTTATAAATTATTTCAAATTTTACATGAACCACACAAAAAAACTGTGATGCAATATATATATATATATGAAATTTAGTATGAAATTTATATAAACATATAATCTGAGAATCAGTATTAACCCCATTGGAATGAATGAAAATTAAATTCCTCTGAACTGCTCAAAATCAGTCCAAATGTATGAAACCTACATATTTATTTCCATCAAAACAACTTAAATACAACTCAAAATAAATTCATTTCACTTGCATAAACTTTCACTTTCAGACGAAAAAGTGATGTGTTTTTTACGCTTCATTATTAGGCATTAATGCTTCATAAACATATTCATGTTCATCAACAAAATTCAGTTCTAAAAGTGTGTGAGATATGGGGACAATCTGAAATATATTTCACAAAAAATTTTGACACTAATATAACTTCATAGATCATTTAACAGAAAGTATTTTTGACACTAATGGTGCTCCATACATACCCAGGTCAAAATGACCCGAACATTTTAAATGGTTAATATCTCTTAAAAAATTATTGGAAATCTGAAAAAAATAAATGATGTGTATTTTGAGACTCTTAATACATTTGCCACGTTCCGTTCCCTTACTAAAAACTTACTAAAAGACATTTTTATGCATCTCTTCCAGGTCAAAACGGACTTGAATGTGTTATGAGGGTAAAGCACTGATTTATCTTGCGCTCTGTCTGTCTGTGTGTGTGTGTGTGTGTGTGTGTGTGTGTGTGTGTGTGTTCAGCCTCTATAGTCCAGCAGAAGTGGTGGTGTCAGATGCATCCGTGTCTGGATGGAGAGGACTGTAAAGTGCTGCCGGATCTCAAAGGATGGAGCTGCGCTACAGGGAATAAGATCAAGACCACAAAGGTATGAAGACCCTCAGAAAACACGGTACAAGCATGGTACAATACCGTGATCTCAAGCGCTTCCATGACTAACAAACCTCCAGAGAGTTTTGCTGCTTTGTGCATGATTTAAAGCACCATTAATAAACACATTATATGCAGTCTGGTCTTTAATAATGATAATGTTCTCAAAGTGTTAGCACAAAAACATTATTAATAAATCATTCATGAAATGTTCCAGTTGGATGCTCGTCTAACATTTTTTAAATGTAACTAGTTCAGAGAACATTCAAAAGTAACATTCTCATAATGTTTCAAAAGGATCAAATGAAATGTTCCTTTAACGTTCACTCTTTTTTTTTTAATGGATGTTCAGAGAACATTCAGAAATAATGTTTTTATAATTTAATGGGAATGTTTGAAAAACTTCTTGAGATGCAAAGTGACTTGAGATATTAAGGCTTGTTTTAAATCTAAATTGAACATTTTTGCTTAAAATACGAACAAATATCTGTTAATGGGGTCTGAAAAATAAATGTAATTCAAAGGGAGAATAAGATCATTTCTTAGATTTTATTAAGCAAAAACTCATTTAATCTTGATATAGAAAGCAAGACTTAATATCTGGTGTATTAATGTATCTTGATTTAAGAACGTTTAGATATTTTACTTTCCCAGAAATTATTACTGCAACTTGCATATAAATAGTGATTACAGAAAAATACAGATTTTTTGTCACATAACAACAAAAAATGTTGTTATGTGCAACAAAAAGATAGGAATGTGTGTTTATTAAATGGATAGTCCGCCCCAAAATGAAAATGATCATCATCACCAAACCTGAATGAGTTTCTTTTTTTTTCTCCTGAAGACAAAAGAAGATATTCTGAAGAATGATGGTAACTAAATAGTCGCTGATAGTAATACAATGGAAGTCAATGGGTACCGTCACCTGTTTGCAGCACCCAACATTCTTCAGAATATGGTGTTTTGTTTTCAACAGAAGAATGAAACTCGTACAGGTTTTGGGACGACATGAAGGTGAGTTAAAGATGACGTAATGATCTTAAGACGTTTTTTCTGTGCGGCTCTCTGCTGTTGAAGGTCATCCATCTGTCTCTGGGATCATTTGTTACCAGCAGATGAAGCTTTTAGCCCCATTAATGACTAGTGTGTCACCGCAACACCCTTGAACATCACCAGCGCTTTAATTAGAAGCTTTTAATAGAAACCCAATGCAAATGTCCTTCTGCTGCTGGTTATGACGACTGTACGACTCGAGCTCGTTCAACTTCTATCAATTATTTAAACGGCTTCGCCAAACCTGTCTGGAGCCTAATTATTGATCCTAAATATCCGCAGGCTCTCCTGATTGGCCGGCGTTGTGGTGGTCTTCATCGATTCAAAATAAACCATATCAACCTCAAAAGCCCTATATCTTTCTTTTCTGCATGAAACACTAAACTAATGCCGTTTCTTGCTTTCATTTCCTATGTTACGCGCGGCACAGATCTCCTCAGACCGGGATCAGCTCTGGTGACCGCTGGAAACCTGATCCAGGTGAGCCGGCCTTCATCACCATCATCATCATCATCACAAGCAGGGGTTTGAAACTTCCAGAAAAGTCCTTAGACGCAGGTGTTTGTGTTTATTTCTTCTTGGAATCAGCAGCGCGTTTATCTTGCTGACACTGATCACATGTAAAACTCAAATACGATGTGCTTTATAGTCTTGTTGTAACACTAAACTGAAAGCAGGAGCTCTAAACTGTCTGGTTAGTGATTGATAGAGCTGTTCATTCATCTCGTCAGATGGCGTAGTTATGATCTACTAACCAGCTAAACTAACCAAACCCTGAGCTCTTGGTCATCATTGACTGATCTGATAATGTGTATATTAATGTGTTAATCTCCACAATCTACCAGCACTGAATTAACGTTCAGTTTTCAACTAAACTGAATCAACTACATTTAATCTGTACCTGATACATCTACACTCTTAAAAATAAAGGTGCTTAAAAGAAAAGAACACAAAGAATTCTTCCACAAAGAACCATTCAGTCAAAGGTTCTTTAAAGACCCACTGTTTTATAATCTGAAGAACCTTCTTTTTGTGAAGCTTTTGTGAAACAGAAATGTTCTTCAGATGTTAACGGTTCTTTATGGAACCATTTAGACAAAAAGCAGCTTTATATAAGAGTGTACTGAACACACCAGGGACTCCAATAATCAATCAAATAAAATATTTTAGATTACAGTAAAGAAAAAAAATTAAACACTTGCCAAAAAATGTACATTTTAATTAAGTAAAAAATTTACAAATTAAAATAATTAAAAACTAAATAAAACACTTGCTAAAATTTTTAATAGTAATTAAATAAAAAAATTTAAAAAGTTTAATAATGAAAGAAAAAAAACTTGCTAAAAACATAAATATTAATTTAAAAATGTAAAATTAAATTAAATAAAAACAAAACAAGCACTTGCTAAAAATGTAAATATTAATTTAAAAAAAATTTATAAAATAAGTTTTTAAAAAAAACATTTGCTTCTGAAGAACCTTCTTTTTGTGAAGCTTTTGTGAAACAGAAAGGTTCTTCAGATGTTAACGGTTCTTTATGGAACCATTTAGACAAAAAGCAGCTTTATATAAGAGTGTACTGAACACACCAGGGACTCCAATAATCAATCAAATAAAATATTTTAGATTACAGTAAAGAAAAAAAATTAAACACTTGCCAAAAAATGTACATTTTAATTAAGTAAAAAATTTACAAATTAAAATAATTAAAAACTAAATAAAACACTTGCTAAAATTTTTAATAGTAATTAAATAAAAAAATTTAAAAAGTTTAATAATGAAAGAAAAAAAACTTGCTAAAAACATAAATATTAATTTAAAAATGTAAAATTAAATTAAATAAAAACAAAACAAGCACTTGCTAAAAATGTAAATATTAATTTAAAAAAAATTTATAAAATAAGTTTAAAAAAAAAACATTTGCTATTAATTAAAAAATAAAAATGAAAAATTTAAATATTATTTTACATGTGATCATTAACCAACATCAGAGAACTGTTAAATTATTATAGAAATAGTTTTGCTAGTTATTTTGAGGGTTGAACTGCTGTTGTTGTTTTTGTAATAATGCTTTTAACCGTTTCAGAGCCGTTCATCCCAGGATCTGCAGGGAACTCACAGCGCATTAATCAGCGGCTCAGACCTTCTCATTATTAACCATGATCGAGCTGACGGATCAGGATCCGGACCGATGAAGGTCACGGAGCTCCGCCAAAACATGAACTTCATCCGTATCCAGATGGATAATGGGGGAAAAAACAGATGAACAGTTTGTTCCCGCATTTCTTGAAGCTCTAATCTGAATGTTCGTATATCCTCATATTGAATGACATCATATCAAAGAAGACTCCAGCAGGATTTTTCTGCACTGCAGATGCTTTGTCTGTGTGTAAATGATGCATAGGCTCATAATAAACCATGATTGTCTTAATCTGGTGCGTCTCAGTGTCCAGGTGTTTTCCAGGTGAGGTGGGCGGAGCTTCATGACCCTCAGGTGACCCTTAGGTGACCCTCAGTCATTCACACAACCAGAGCAAACTCATGTTCCCGCTGACGTTTGATGAAATCAGTGAATCACTCGAATGATTCATTTGGACAGGAACAGTAACAAACTTTAATGAACCAGTTATGTTCGTTTATACAATGCTATTTATACATTGCTCATGGAACATTTTATTTCTGAAATGTTTTATTTGGACGTTCACCTGATGTTTTTAAATGTTACTACGCTTGAGAAAAATAACGTTCGTATAATATTTGCAAAAATATCAAATGGAATGTTTTGATGTGTGATCAGAGAATCAGTGAATCACTTTAAAGATTCGTTCGGACAGATGTCCAGTGAACAGGGAATGTTCTCAGAGCATTCTGACAAGTAACAATCATTCAAAGTTATCTGGTTTTTAATAAGACAGTATTTATACATCGTTCACTGAACGTTTTATTTCTGAAACGTTTCAGTCAGACGTTCATCTAGCGTTTTTTAAATGTTACACTTGTTTCGGAATGTTCAGAGAACACTCAAAAGTAACGTTTCCATAATGTTTCAAAATGATACAATGAAATGTTCCTTTAACATTCATATGACCAAGAAAAAACATTTTAAAAACAAAACTGGACGTTCAGTTAGTGCTCAGTTGTGTCCTGTTGCATTTATTCTTCAGATATTAAAAGCAGGGGAATGTGTCGTATCAGTTATATCCATTGCTTCTGCATTCTTGCATTCGAAGACGACACACACAAACCATGAAGACGAGGAAGCTGACTCTGAGAGAAAAGCAAGCACTTTGGATGCTAAAAGAAAAAAGCGAGGTCAATTAGAGCTGAGAAAAACAACAGCAGCTGATGACACTGAAAATGAACCCTAAAATATGTGTCTGTAAAATCACCAACAAGCTCCAGAAAGCTGGGGTGATGCTCTGACGATCTACTGTCTGCAGGAGACTTTACACAGAATTACAGAAGCTACAGCCAGATGCAAACCTCTGACTAGCAACAAATAGAAAGGCAAGAGTTTGCAAAAAAAAAAAAGCACAAAGGTGAGCCAGTAGAGTTTTGGCACAGTGTTTTATGGACAGATGAGACAAAGATTAACCTTTATCTAAGTGATGGGAAAGCAAAAGTGTGGAGAAAAAGAGAACTGCAGATGATCCTGAGCATACAGCCTCATCTGTAAAGCATGGAGATGGAGGATGGGCATGCATGGCTGTCTCTGGAACAGGCTCTCTCCGTTTTAATGATGACTTAATGTATGATGGCAGCAGCAGAAAAACCATCTTGGCTACCAGTATTCAAGAAAATGCCACCAGAGTCATCAGAAAGCGCTTCACATTGCATCAGGACAATGACCCAAAACACTCTGCCAGTTCAGTCGAGGAGTTTATCAGGGCAAAGAAATGGAAAGTCTTAGATTGCCCAAATCAATCTCCAGATTTAAGTCCGATTGAACATGAATTTCACCGGCTGAAGAGGAGACTAAAGGCAGAAACTCCCCAAAACAAGCAACAGCTGGAATTCAACAAACATTTGAAATTCCCAGCGAGATCAGTGTCTTTGTGGAAAGCAGTGCAGTGTATGTCCACAGACACTCTATACTGAAATGCTGGTGTGCACCAGTATGTATTTATTTATTTATTTTAGACATATGTTTCATATACTTAGTTATTTTAGGCGGTAGGCCTATTTATTTATTTATTTGTTTTATTCCTTATTTTGTTTTGTTTTAGACCCTATTATTTATTTATTTGATTAATACGTTTTTGTTACTATTATGTTATTTTGTATTGTTTTAGACCTTTTAATTATTTTTAAAATATATATATTTAATGTTATTTTATTATTTTTATTTTAGATCCTATTGTGTTTATATGTACATTTTTGTTACTATTTTATTTAATTCATTTTTATAATTTTTTATGCTATTTAATTTTGTTGTTTTATACGGTGACGCATTGCTGCCACACACATATTTCCCCCCCACTCAATTACGTCGTAATAACGAGATATGTCGTTTTAACGAGAAAACATCTCGTTATTACGAGAAAAGATGCCGTTTTAACGGGAAAAGCTGTCGTGAAAACGACATAACATCTCGTTATTACGACGTAATTGAGTGGGGAAAAAATATGTGTGTGGCAGCAATGCGTCACCGTAGTTTTAGACCCTATTTTTATGTACATTACAATTTTATTTTTGTCTTTTTTTTATTATTTTATGTTGCATTTTTTAAAGGTACATGGTTGCAAACAATTTATTTTAGCTACATTAAAAAAAAAATTGAAAGTCAACTAAATTTATTTAAATGTAGCTAAAATAAATTGATTGCAACCCTTGACCTTAAAAAAATTTAGCAAATTCAGTGAATACTTTTTTCAGCCTAACATTTCGTTTTAGATTATTTGTCCATCTGTTATTAAAGGCACGCGTTCATCTCTTGATAACATGTCAGCGTGTCTCTGGGGTGGGTTAGTTCCTCTAATCAGGGTCCCAGAGGCATGCAGACGGATCACAGTGATGTTTAACAGCTGTTTATATTCACTGATCCACTGTGTGACGCTTCTGTGATGAACACCTCGTTAATGATGAACTTGAACAGAAGATGAACTTTCTTCAAACTGCGCTTGTTGTTGTGTGCTGCAGTCCTCTATTATATAAGAGATTGACAGGAACTTCACAAAGAGCGAGCCTTTCTGAAGCGTCGGGTTTGTCTGAGGGTCTTTTGTTACGGTGTCAGATTCTCCTCGCTGGATGATTATTGCAATTGCTCACTATACAAAAGCGTCAGGATTAGTCATGTGATCATCTGAAGACCTCAAGATGAACCTATAGGGGTGCTTATATTTTACTGTGTGTTTTATCAGAAACAAAGCTCTGCTTGATCCAAATATTAATCATATAGAATGTCATGTTTGTGTATATAGTGTCATTTGCTGTTGTCATTTTAGGAGTTTGACAGCGTCCACCTCCTCCTTCACTTTCATTATGTGTAAAAGAGCAGCGTGAACATTTTGCTGAACGTCTCTGTTTGTGTTTCGAAAACTCGCACAGGTTTGTAATGACATGAGAGTGAGTAAATATGACGTTTTGGGTGGTATTAAGATGATTTGGTCATTTTGTGTGAATTTTTTTTTATTTTCTTAATTAGTATTTTTATCTTGTTTTCTAGTATAAATATCTAAAAGATCAAGGATAAAGATGCATTTATTTTGCAAGTAAAGTAGCTTAAGGTATGAATTTTTGTTTTCTGAAAAAAAAACAATTATAGAAATGTTGTTAGTTTTTGCTTAAAACGAGCAAAAATATCTCCCAATCGGGCAAGAAAAATAATCTTGTTTAGCCTTTGAATTAAGATATTTTTGCTTTTTTTTAAGCAAAAACTAACAAAATTTCAATCTTTTTTTTTTAAACAAGACTTAATATCTTAAGTAATTTCCTTGTCCAGTAAATGCATCTTGATTCAAGAATGTTTAGATATTTATATTATAAAATATCAGTATTATAAACTGCTTCCGTGTACAACTGTTGGCGCAAGCTAGATTAAAGTGAATATTACGTTTTGAATATGGATATTTTTCTTACAAAAACTCATGGATTCGCTACAGGAGGCCTTTGTTCACCCCCCGCCGTGTGAGACACTTTTTATTATGGATGGATGCACTTTATTTCACTTCTTTTGGACTGATGCACTGCAACACACGCTGACTGCTATTAAACAGCTTGAAAGATCAAAGACCATTTTTAATATAATTCGTCTAAAAGAAGAAAGTCATATACACCTAGGATGCCTTGATGGTGAGTAATTCATGGGCTAATTTTCATTTTTGGGTGAACTAACCCTTTAAGTGCTTCAGAATTAATCAAACAGAACAAAGTCTCTGATTCACGAAGTCTTGCTGCACATATGAGAAACGTCTCTTTGTTTTTACAAAACAAGTCAAACTGGGAGACAAACCTGGACATCATCTTCCTCAGACGTGAATGACGTGACAGTAAGAGGATAAATCTCACAGAGCATTTCATATTTCACCCCAAAATTCAAAGAAAAGTCACTTTTTTGTACAATGCAGTGGCCCCTGATGAGACGCTCCTCTGAGGCCGAGGCTGAGACGCTGGTTAAGCACCGCAGGGATTGTTTAGTACAGATGAGTTCATCGTCTCTAGATGTTTGTCAGAGGTAATTCTGCTCTCTCTTTGTGTTTATCTGCTCCTTCAGGACAGAGAGACGCTGATACTGCGCTGGAGCGTCCATCAGCCTCCACTGGAATAATGACGGGAACAACAGCACTTACTCCGCTGAACATCACACTCATTTCAGTGAAAGGAGAGGAAACATCTTACAGTATTTCTGCTGCATCTCATCTGTAACGTTTTATATAGTATATCAGAACTTTTATCTCATAATTATGAATTTCTCTTATAACTTCGACGTTTTGTGATTATATACCTCATAATTTCAACTTTTTATATCTTGATTAATTATGTCATAATTTTTACTTTTTATCTCATGATTATGAAATATCTCATAATTTCGACTTTTTGTGATTATATACCTCATAATTTCAACTTTTTATAATTCTGACTACGTTTGTCATAATTTTGACTTTGTATCTCATAATTATAACTTGTCTCATAATATCAACTTTGTCATAATTAGGATTTTTTTTAATCTCATCATTTCAATTTTATATATCTTAATTATGACTAATTAATTGTCATAATTTAAAAAAAATTCTCATGATTATGAAATATCTCATAATTTTGACTTTCTGTGATCATGATTGTCTACCTTTACAATTTCAACTTTTAATAATTATGACTAGGTTTGTCATAATTGTGACTTTTTGTCTCATAAATCATCTCATAATAGCAACTTTGTCATAATTATGACCTTTT